AACGTTCTGTCAAGATTTACGCAAGCTTTTCGACTTTAAATGAAAAACTAAATATAAGGTTTTGTAGAGCAAAATTCGCTCTACAAAACCATATATGCTGCCTCTCTTCAGAATATAGCCATTTTCAGATTTTACGTTCGACTTTTTCTCTCGTTGCTCCAAGAATGTCAATAGAAAAAGTCATGCAGATAGACTTTTAAAAAAATTAATATAGTCGATCTTGTAGAGCTTTTCATGCTGATCATTTTCATAAAAAAATTTTCTTGAGTTCATCGAAAAATAAAATTACTAGGATCAAAATACTGAAAACATGGTATTTTAAACACACAAGGTTATTGCTTAGTACATTGTTTAGTATTTTGACGATAACATCGTTATTTATGGGTCAAGTTTGAAGTTTTTTTTTACTAAAATGATCAGCGAAAACTTCTCTACAAAATCTGATAGAAAACAAAAGAATCAAAACACTTTGTGTTTTTTGTGGTAGACATCCCGTGGAATTACCCCATTCATATTATTCTTTTTTCTGTCTAGCCTGGTACACCATTACGTCCTATTATTGCTTCAATTCATGCAGCAGCTACATTGGTATCAAAATTTTTAAATGATTTATTAGCACCTATATATTTGAATGTTGCTCGGGAAATGACATTTATTAATAGCATTGATGTAGTTAGCAAATTAGAAAAGTACGTTTTAGATGGACACTTTCAAGTTACAACAAAGTTTATCGTAATTGATGTGACTGATCTGTATACGATGATACCCCGTGAAGGTACACTACATGCATTGATGCGATTTTTAGAAAACAATTCATACCATGGAAAAATTGGTACATTATCCATTGATGCTATTATGAGAATGGCTCGTTTAATATTTGATACGAATTATTTTGCTTATGACAATAAATATTATAAACAAACTTGTGGTGGTGCTATGAGTTCAGCATTTACACAAGTACTGGCTAATATCTATATGCATGAATGGGAGCAAGACTTGATCCAATATCAAGCAGTACACAAAGGAATATACGGAAGGTTTGCGAAATATTTACTAAATAAGCCCAGTTATCTTACCTTATACATATATCTCTGCAGGTACACAGATGATATATTCATGACAACTAACGAGAACATACATGCAATTAAAATGCAACTCGAAAAAGCTTCTAACAGAGATACCAATATCCAAATTAACTATGAAATTAATACATCAGTTAACTTTTTGGATGTTACAATAAACAATGAGAATGGTCATTTAAAAACATGTCTTTATCGCAAAACAACAGCTGAACCTAATATATTACCATACACCTCCAGTCATCCACCACACGTTCATCGCAATATACCTTTTGCTGCTTTATTACGTGCTGCTCGTATTTGTTCCGATGTGCATGATTTCAACAGAGAACGTATTCGTATCGATCTCTCACTATTACTAAACAATTATCCACGAAATTTTATAAGGAAACAATTCAATAGATTCTTTCAAGTAAATAATGCCATACCTGTTCTGGATGAATGGAATTCTCAAGTTTATCATCGACTTCATGAACAATTATTCCATCAACCTACACGACGTGAAAAGCAACTGCAAGCTGTGGCGCAAGATCCGATTCGATCACCCACAGTATTCCAACAGAAGACATGGGATCCAAACATAATGTACCCACGTTATGTTTTCGACAGTTCCACATCTACTGATTTTCAGAAAAGATTTTACAAATGGTGGCGACTTTATTATGCAAATGCAGCATCTCCTTTGACAAACATTAAAGTTCGATTGGGAGCTATGGCGAACCAGACACTTGAAGCATTCTTAATACGTAAAAAACCACCAAAAGCAATTCTGACACGCATGGAACACGACTACACCTGATCTCCACTCAAGTATCAACCATGGGCTACAACATATATAAAAACATTAATAAACATATTTCTTCCCGTAAAAATAAGAAGGCACTGTAACTTTTGTTAGAAATTTGCCAAAATAAATGCGAGTTCATCTGCGAGTCTTTTCCAATCCTAGATCAGCAGAAACCTTATCGGGATATTTATTGTACCATACTCCCTTGATATACTCTATTCCAGATAAACATCATTTCCTACATAACAACAAATCTATCACATGCAACCTAGAAGTTCCGACACATATGCACCATCAGTAAACCATACGAAAGAATCAAAACCAACGTCACCATGTTCAAACCAACAAACTCCGGAAGAATAAATCATACTTGCATTATTATCCAAAGTTGATTAGATGTCCGATCCAGCCATTCCATAGGCCATGGATTCCAACATTTCAACACTGATAAGATGCAACATTTAAATCGTGAAAACAACAAACATTGCTAAATCAAACTATTTCCTCAAAACGTTTGAAACATTTTCCTACTCATTTGCAACTATACTCAACCTTCATCACACTTCATCTCAAAAACAGACTGATAATATAACGACATGTTCAAACGTCGAAGCGTGTTCTATAATTGCTGACAGTATCGGTAATACAAGATTTACGTCAATTTCATTTCAACTGACCATGGTTTCTCACAAACTCCTCTCACCTTCAATAGAAACTGTATTAAAATACCATTCACAATGGAATCCTACAAAACATCTCAATGAAAATTTCCCCCGAATATCAAAGCTTGTCAGCAATGCCGATTTAGAACTAACATATTCATACATTATAAACATACCCGACAAAGATCCTTTAATAACAGGTTACGACCACTCCCATCAATGCTTTCATTCCACCTAGTCCCATCCTCCACAAACACCGATAACTAGATTGCAATCAATCATGTACATCAACAAAGCATTCAGTTGGCGATTAATACCCTTCATTAAGAAGATCTTCTAATGAATATTTCACAAAATATCTAACATCTATTTTTGTTCCGATAAATTCAGCTTTACCCACCATCAACTGAATAATGATGAAAACAGGAAACCAAATGTAATAAAAACAAAAATTAAGTAACACCATCACAAATATATCATAGATCGCATCAAACGTCAGCATAATAATGAACTCAAGCCATTTCGACTCATCCTTACACATATTAACTCATTACAACTTCAACAGTAAGAGCGAAACTATGTCCCAACATAAAATTCCTGCTAAGAACGTTACACTCCCCACAATACACCATTCCAAACATCATTTACATCAAATTAATTCCTAGTCCACTCATAATCATCAAATTCAAAATTTGCCTGACGAGTCCCTTAAGCAAGGACGAAACCGGTCGCATATAGCTTTGAATAGAAAATTGATATATATATAAACCCATCCACACCCACCCACACCCACCCACACCCACACCCACACCCACACCCTCTACACACATAGCCGCGCCTACAGCAGTGCGCGCACATACAGCGTCAATCATAATCACAGGAACAGGCACAGCAACACTCGTAGCTACACCGTCATCAAAGCTTTAACCAACACTCATTCTCACTCCCAGATAATTCAAGTCGCATAGTGCTACAGCATCGCAGAATGTACTTTGATTCTGTTATGCATTTTTTCTAGTGTTTCTTCTGCGAATTTAGTACGCTTCCAAACGAATTATGTTCCATTTCAATGGTGGAAAACTGATTCATCTTTCATAATTGGCGTTCGCTGTCGTACTCCAAAGATCACTCTTCTCACTTAACACGCTCTCAATGCATCGTTTGATCTGGTACGTTCCGAGGATCATTAATTGAAACTAATTCGTAAACGAAATCTGCAAGAAACAAATCACAAACAACCTACCAATCCTTCAATCAAAATAATACATTCAAAATTGAACATTCTGTCAATTTTTGGCTTTGTTTTGAAACGATAATGCAGTTTTTATTATGGAATTCAATTAAAATAGTCATTGACTCTAGCACACTCGTCAGTTCAATATCTATTTTCATAGTTTGAAAATATTTATTAATGTTCAACTGATTGACAATCATAGTCGTCATTTGGAATATTTGCAACTATGCCTACATGGAGAGTTAGGTGAGTATACTCTGTGCATTCTTTCTACTTTAAAAAATATGAATAATGTGAAATAGATGGGAGGTAAAAAGAACAAGGGAAAATTTGATACGAAGGAAAAGTTTCGATTTATAATCAGTCAAATATCAAATCGAAAATGTTATATTTTGGCGAACTTCTGCAGCCGATTATTACTGGTATCAACGACAAAAAGGTTCCATAATGAGTCGAATGCAAATCCCAACGGGTAACTTAATTGTGTTGCACTGAAGCCCAACACTCCGGTGCCGGCAATGGTTGTTCCTGAAGAGTCATTCTCACAATAAGCCATAATACGACTATTTCCAGCATCATTGACATATAATACTTTGTTGGTTGAATCGAAATAAGCACCAAGTGGTGAATACAGGAGTGACGATGAAGATCCACTTGATCCTGAAACTCCTGAAATGAACAAATATAAATGGTTCAAATCTAGAAGCAAACAAACAGAATAATATACGTACCAACAACCACTGTACCACGAGAAGCAAATGGTCTCCATTTTATAATTATATTTGCTTGTGAATCTGCTATGTATAAATAATTTGATGTTGAATCGTAATATGCGAAAGACGGTAGCTGTATATCGCCGTTGCTTCCATCCTATCAAATATATATTTGTACTTCTATTAGACTAATTTCCTGGAAACCCATCAATAAGGCAGTAAAAGTCAGCCTGTGAAAGATTCGATTTTGTTTTCAAATCCACATTTTGAAGCTTTGACAGCAGCGTCTTATTGATATCGTCAACAATCTGGTATCCTCAATAAAATGACACCCCACTCCTTTAATTCGAACACAGGGTTGATAAAAGGTCTAATCATTCACTTGAAGATATTAAAAATGTATCTAGTTAAATTGACTCTCAAAATATCTAACCGTATGCAGCAGCCTAAAGAAAACTCTCAGTGATTTACCGTCTTAGCAGAAATGTTCCAATTTAATCTCACATGTTGAAATTTAATCAAAATACTCATTGAGTCTGAAATAGATTGCAAGATATTTCAATGAAAATCTCGGTAGATATTGACTACAGAAAATATGCAAAATAGTTGGTTGCGAAAAAAACTTCCACTTTGCAATGGGAACTAAAATTGGTCTTCTTTTATTTGATTTCGTTCGCATTACATTTTCAGACTTGAAAAATACTTCATCTCACAGTAAACCCTCTCCCATAATAGAAGCCCCTTCCATATTAGAAGCCCTTCCCTTATTAGAAGCTCCCTCCCGAAGAATCGATATGAATGATGTATTAGAAGCCCCCTTATTTTTACAAATTTTTTGAAAAATTTTATTGGTATTTTCATCGCAAAATCGCTGAAATTCAAGATCTTAAGATTAAAATTTATTTCTTTTTCTTCTATGCCAGCGTAAAAATCTCGAAATCTCCTGGAAAGTCGTTTGAAAACTTTAAAAAACCCTAATAATCCCTAAAATTCTTGGCAATCTTTTTTACATCTAAAACTATTGAAAAAATGTGGGACTTAATAGAAGCCCTCACCGAACATTTTGGAGGGTGGACAGTTTAGAAGCCCCCCAGGGGTTTCTATTATGGGGAGGGGTTTATGCCAAATGGATTGAAAGATGTAGCGCAGATTTCTCCAGAAATTTATTTATTTCCTCGTAGATTATCCATCGAAAGCTGTGAACAATACATTCGGCAAAGTATCATTGCTAGCCCGGAAAGTAATATTGTTTACGAGTGATAAATTATATAGCAAGAACTGTGAACCACACGTGGCTTGCTTAACAGCCTATGACAGATATGCCGACACACTGATTTGCATATGTTTTGATATATTCCTCATTATTTCAGGCTTCGAATAAAATTTAAGAATATGAAAGGATTTGAAATTCTGATTTCCGAAAAATCTGTTCACCCTTCAAATTTAGTATTTCGGTGTTTGTCAAAGGTCGTGACAGACATTTTGAAATGATGTTTCTTGGACTCTGTTTGGCACGATGATCAGTATACAGAAGGCCTTCATGTCCAATTACAGCAATTTTACCGTGTTTTCATTATAAATCTGAAAAGATTGAACTGAGATCCTTTGTTACTATAATGCAAAATATCTACGTCTCTTGAGTAAGCACTTAGGAGATGGTCCGCGAGAAGACCACCTTACTCTCCATATAGGTCGCTGGGGAAAAAAATTTTTTTTTCGATTTTATTTTCTTAAACGATAGGTCTAGGTAAACTATAGTTAAATCCAAAATATTAGCGCATTTGGTTTTACCTATGAAAAATGCAAGCTGAAACAAGTTTAAGGGGGACAAAATTGACCCTAAAAATGGGTATGCTCAGTACTTTGACATTTTCTCATGAATGGTTTGACCGTTTGAGATCGGGCACATCTGATTAGATAGGGTATAGTATACGCTACAAATTTATCCAACTTTGATGATTCATATCTGAGATAAGAGAAACTCTATAGATCAAAAACCTTCCAAATCTGAAGAAATTCGACACTCTGGAGTAGCAGTATTTTGGGCTTTTCTTGAGTGGTGAAAGCGGTTCCAAACTTCTTTTTTTACCACACATAGATCTTGTCAAGATACATCTTTTGACATTAAATTGTCAAGACGAAAAAACTAGGGGTCAAGTTAGCATGGACCACACTGTCCCCTACCCTATCTAGTCACCATTGACCCTACCCACAAAGACATACAATTTCTACAGAAATCACGAAAATGGGCTTCAGATTCGTGTTCAGCTTGAAAAACTGGGTTAGATAGGTTATTTTATATTGATTCTTTATTTGTACTAAGCGTGCTGAAGATCATGAGTCTACTTTATACATGTATAATAGGTATATGACACAGTGTTTTGATAATAATTTACCAATATT